GCCATAACACGATACTCAGCTTCAACAGAAGGACGAGCCACGACCTTCTGCTTCTTAGTGCGCCAAGAGATAGGAGCGCCACCCAGAGTGACAAAATATCCAAACGTGGAGTGTCGGGTGCACTCACAGCCAGTCCAGTCGACATCGCATTACGTAGTCAGGGTCAGGTCATTCGTGGTGGGGAAGAAAAGACCCTAACCTAGAGAGGCTTTGTGGTAGCGCAAAATTGCATAGTGACATCCATATGCATCGGGCTAGGCAAATTAACCAACTGACTAATGACGTTGACCGCATAAGTGATGTTGGGCCGCATAACCGTGAGGTAGAGAAGGTGACCAATGAGACGTCGTTAATATGAGGGATCAGCTAACAGGGTATCCTCAGTAAGCTGGCGAGTCAAATGATGGTTCTGCTCTACTAGGAAAGCACTAAGACCAGACCCTTCAACTCTGCCATCTTCCAAAATGTCAAGTGTGTACTTGCGTTGACAAAGGACCACCCCATCCTTAGTCCGGGCAAACTCCATACCCAGGTAATAACGCAGAGTACCCAAATCCTTAATAGTTAATACTGAACTTCTCATCCAAGAAGTGTTTGACCTTGTTGATCAAAGCCAAATCAGTGCCTATCAAGATGATGTCTTCAACATAGATGAGAGCGACCACGTAGGTGCTCCCTAAGTGAAAGATAAACAAGGAGTGATCAGCATGTGAGGGCCGGAAACCGAGTGATCAACGTGTTGTAGTTAACTTGTGATACCAGTTTCGAGAAGCTTGACGAAGCACATAGATAGACTTATGAAAACGACAGACACGAGAATCTCCAGGAGTAACAAAACCAGGAGGCATCTTCATGTAAACCTCTTCCTCAAGATCCCCATTAAGAAAGGTGTTGTTGACATCCAGTTGGTGTAGATGCCAACCTCGACTGACAACAACAGCGAGAAGACAACGAATAGTGACCAGTTTACCAACTAGAGTGAAGGTGTCATAGTAGTCCCATCAGGTTGATACTTGATCTCAAAAACTCATTTCGCTACAATAGCATGTGTAGACACCACATTTTGTCCGGGTTGAAACTAGTTGCCACTTTCGAACTCATGAACTTATCTCTCACTTGTGGAAGAAGGGTTGTTCATGTTAAACACGAATACAATCTTTGGTTCAAATTTTGTATGAGATGAAGCATTCGAGTTCGTTGTCAAGGATTGAATACACAAGGAAAATACAAGATTATGTTATTGAAGAATTTAAAATTCGGTACAGTCATCGATACTATTACAAAAGTTTGAACACTTCTAATCAAGTTTACAAACAAGAGAGGTCAGATAATTCAGGCCTGAAATCCAAATATAGATGCAAAGCCCAAATCAAAACTCAAGTACAAGATTCGAAAAGGCCCACAATCTGAGCCCAAGTCGGCTCACAAGCCTCGGGTTTGGCCCAACTCGTCACAGCCCAACCTTATCTCCAACCAATTCCTCATATCAACGAGGGAGACAGGTTTTTCCATAATTAGGCATTCAAGTGCAAGATGACACACGTGGCGCTTTCTATTTGCTATAAGTGAGCTCTTTGGGCTCTTGTTGAAGGAGGACGGGTTTTTTGGGAAAATCATTGGAGAGAAAAAAAAACTGTTGCTGGTTTTCAGAGATAGACTTTTTTTTTCTTTTTCTCTTTGAGAGAGAGCATTGGAAGTTGTAGAAGCAGATAGAGTGGAATTCCCAAGCAATAATCCTACAAGGTTAGCTTTGGAACACGACTACTATTTTCGTAATGAAATTTCACTTCACTTTGTATTCGGCTCCTTTCTTTCCAGTTCCTTCTCTATCACCATATTGTTATATCAGTGGATCTACTTGCTATGTTTAAGCACTTGTTATTATCATTGTGTGTTTTTGGTTAACTTACCTTACCTTTCAATCACATAGTATTATTTTGAATTATGTGAAACATAGCAATAGCTAGTCAAAATCCCTTATTCACCTATATAATCACTTCCAATACATTAGCTAATCCGTATTTGCTTTCATATCTAAAGAATTTAATAGCTTTTTTTAACTATAAATCTATATAAGTAGAGCCTACCTAAAAATAGTTCAAGAAATACACTAGAAACCGAATCCAAACATTAGAGTATCATCCAAAATCAAAGTAGCTTCACAAATAGGCTATATCCACTTTTTAGAAGTTCATGGTTCTAGTCTAGATCCAGATCCAACGATCACCATACCACGTGAAAATTCAGATTCATAAATCATTGCCAGTTTTTCAATCACCAATTCTAATCCAATAAAATCACAAGCAGTAGCAGTGATTTAGTCCAGTCTCCAGCGAAATCACAGGCAAAGGCAATGATTTATATTGGTCAAAATTATTTTCTTTCAGCAAACTCTAGCATATCAATAGCTACATCTAAAAACATCGACCAAACCACGAATCCTAAAAATTCGAGACCATCAAACCCACACACATAATGTTTCCAAACCACATATCTGTAAATAATAGTCCGTTTATTTAGTCTAATTTTCCCTAATTATTATACCAAAACAGAGGTTAGAACAGCCTCACTCAAATCAGGCCTCTCTTCCAAACCTGCAAAAAAATGAAGAATAAAGTATGAATTAGTTTAAGTTTTCGTTAAAAAAAAAAAGACAAACAAAATAACATATTAGCATAAGGATTTATAAACCGAAATATCACCTTTCCCTCTGTTCGCTGAAGATCGTCGTCGACGGGGTCTCGCCATCGACCAAAACAAAATAGAATAAAACAAAATAAAAATTATCAGTATGTTGAAAAATAAATAAATCAGGTAGGATTCAGGTTAGGAGATCGATTTAGCTTACCCCTCTGGCTGCCGTAGCAACAACGTCGACGAGGACGGCGTGTATACCACACTTCTGAGCTCGTTTCTAATCCCAAAACCTACCCAAAAATCCAAAGAAAAACAAATCTGATTAGAAATTTTTGTTCTAACACTAAAACCAAGGGAAGGTGTCGAAAAGCCAGGAATTGAAAGTCATGCATGTCGCTGTTTAACCTAGATCAGACTTCGTTGAGGCGGATTAACTTGATCCGAGTCGTCATTTGGCCAAATCGGGGATGGAGTGTGAGAGTTACGTCAGTTTTGAGACCTTTTGCCCTTCGAGAGGGAGAAAGAGGGGAGAGAAGAGAGTGGCGACGACCGGTTTGAGGAACGTGGTAATAATTTTATTTAAAATTAACAAAAAATTTTGATACGAGAACCACGATCATCGGAACTCGGTAATAATTTTATTTAAAATTATCAAAATTCAAATGAACTAAGTGGACTTTGATCCCGTCTAACGGGTACGTAGGCAACCAATAAAGTTCAAGTCCAACTAACCAATTAACTTTGTTTTTAATTTCACTTCAGTAGACGTATAATTAAGTTATAAGCTAATACGACATAATTTTAGCGGTCCAATAAGGGCCCTAAAACTAATTAATAAAATTTATCTTTAAAATGAATGCCAAGAGGTGTAAAAATGAATTATAAATAATATGATTTAAATCCTTTAGTTATCCGCTAGGGTCCTAATTTAATTTATCTTTAAAATACGTTAGTGGACGTTTGGTTAAACCATAACTAATAAGATAGAAATACATTAATGGCCCACTGGGACCCAAAAAATATATATAATTATTTAAAACACCCAACTCCTATAAACTTATCAACTTAAGGATTACCGATTTAGGGCGTTGTGGGGTGTGATTTCACTTCCCCTCACGTAACCGTACTCTCGAACCCATATCTCTAATCCTCAGACCAAGCCCCAGTTCTGACTTAAGGTTAGAGCCGACCGATGACTGTTCGATCCACTCCAAGTAAGTTCGATGGCGACTCCGAAAAAGCGAACGCGACCCCGATGACCCCCGGAGGGACGGTTGCGACAGATGGCGACACCGCTGGAGAATTAGAGAGTCGAGCTACATAACTAAGTTCGATAAGTTTTCTAAATTTCTATTATGTGTTGGGTATTAAATACTTATTTGCGCAATTATATTTTCGTATTTTAATTATGCATTCAAGCATAAAACCCCTATACCCGAGCTATCCTATTCGAAGCGGAAACGGAGTACCGTGACTTTCACAGTAGTGGAAGGCACGCAAAACTTTCCAACCAAGTTGAACTCAGATCCGAGGATGATCTCGAGGTATCCAGCTAGCTCGAGAGGGCTACGGCACGATACAACTTGGGAGCCAAATCCCTTAGGAGTTACTTTCCCATAATATATTAAGGTTAGATGCCTTCCTAAACCACCCAAAAATATCTCGAAACCACCCTAAAACCATGTCGTTACGCCGCCAAAAACCCTAGGTCAACCTAAATAGGGTAATGATGTAATGCTATGTGTTTGCTTATCTAAATGTGTGTTTGCTTACAATGTGAAGATATGCGTTTTATCTTTTACTCGTAAAAATATATGATTGTATAAATGAAAAAAAAAACGTTTTCAAAATTCATAAACATCATTCTCTCATAAGATTTTCATTCACTAGTTATCATAAGAAAATTAAAAACGTATGCATGAAATAAAAAAATAAATTTGCATTCATACATCATTAACATTTGCATAAGCATCATGCATACACACATATAATAAAAATGAAAATTAATTTGTCAATTTTAAGATGGTTCAGGTTTCCTAAAATCATTCATCCACGAGGAAAGAGTAAAGTCTTTAAGTATTTGACAAGATCCAAAGTTGATTTCACTTCCCCTCAAGTAACCGTACTCTCGAACCCATATCTCTAATCCGCAGACCAAGCCCCGGTTCTGACTTAATGTTAGAGTCGACCGATGAGTGTTTTATCCACTCCAAGTAAGATCGATGGCGACTCTCAAAAAGCGAATGCAACCCCGACAACCCCCGGACAGACGGTTGCGACAACATGCTTCCTAGGAGGAAGGAAAACAAGACTCAATGTCCCATTTTGCTGGAGGGCGTGAATTTCTTTCAGCATAGTTCACATCACTGAGGATCAGCAAAAGCTTCTCGGTAAGAGTGTAGTTCGTCTATGAGTGTCACTGCAGCAAGAAACGAGCAATAAGCAGGTTTGAAGTTATCATAGGAAACAAAAGAAGAAAGAGAATGTGCGGCATCAAGAGGAGAACTTACTTGAGGCTCGGAGTCGGAGTTGGTAAGGGGTGCAAACTGGGTATCATAAATTCCCAAGTGTTTCAGGCGCAGGCAAACTCTGTCGCTACGATGGGGGGTAGGAACATCAGAACCATACTTAACAGTAGCGGAGGGAACGACTGGTGAAGAGCCCAAGGTGGACGAGACAGGCCGAGTAGTAGTGCTGGGATCATATGGACGTGGCCCCATAAAGAGAGCCAGGTTCCCGGGTACTGGAGAAGGCCCACGCATACTAGGCTCAGCATCGTGCAACCCAAATGAAGACCTAGTCTTGGTGGAGCGGGGCCCAAGATCTTTGAGGAAGGCGTCGTCCGAGTCCAGAAGTGGCGGAGAGAAAACATGCAGTGGTATCCAGTGGAAACGCTGTGAAGTGGTAGACTGGAAGGGAAATTGAGCTTCGTGAAATTGGACATCCTTTGAGGTAAAGAGCCTCTGGGGGGCAAGTTCATAAAGTCGATATCCCTTCTGAATGGAGGCGTAACCAACAAAAACTCATGCCCCTCCGCTTTCTGCAAACTTATCAAGTGACGCATGAGTATCCTTAGCATAGGCCAGGCAACCATAGACACAGAGACGGGAAAAAGGAGCAGGTTTCCCAAATAAAACCTCGAACGGTGTTTTGCCCATTGTAGTAGTAGGTAACTTATTAATCACATAAGAGTAGTGAGAACACATTCTCCCCATAAACGAATAGGGAGACTTTCCTGAAAACCGAGCGCACAAGCAGTATCGAGAAGATGGCAGTGCTTTCACTCAACAACCCCATTCTACTGAGGTGTGTCTGTGCAGGATGTCTGCAGCAAGATACCCTCACGTTCATAGTAGCTTTGTAAGATCAAGGTGTTAAATTCATGCCCAATGTCTACTTGAATATGTACTAGCCATCTCCCAAATCATCGTCGAACCATTTGATCAAACATCATCAAATACTGTCCGACTTCGGACTTAAAACGAAGCAAATAAACTCATACTCCATAACTAAAGTCATCAACAATAGTAAGGAAATAATGAGCTCCCCCGAGCGAAGCTTTCTTGTAACCTCCCTAGATATCAATAGGAATCAAATCAAAACAGTTACTACTACAAATCATGTTGGTGGGAAAAGGTTACCGAGTTTGCTTAGCTCTAGAACAAGAGTCACAAAGTTTATTTGAAATAGTAGAAATAGCCAAAACATCTCGAAGTTGTTGTAACTTTGACAAAGAATGGGACCCAAGTCGGGCATGCCATAAATCATCAGAAAGCACCCGCTGCTGCGTCGCTGCACAAGTCGGAGCACGACCCACACCGAACAACCGCAGGTAATAAAGGCCACCATGCAACTCACCCTTTCCAATCAGTTTCTTCGAGAGTAAGTCCTGAATAATGTAGAAATCATCGAGAAAAATTAACGCAACATGATTCTCCTTAGTGAAGCGACTCACTAAAATCAAATTGCATTGAAATTCTAGAACGTGCAACACATGGTCGAGTCTAAGTCCAGGTTGCAACTCAATACTACCAATGTGTGCAACAAAAATACTAGCTCCGTTGGGAATGCGAACGGGCTGCCATGCTTATGCGTGACTTTATTCAATAACTGAGAATCATCCATGATAATTTTTTCATTGCAACCGAAGTCGACTAACCATTCAGAATCAATAGAGAACATATCTGCCAGATGAGCTGCATGGTCATCCATTGCTTTAACAGGATACCCAAAAAACTGTCGCAATTGTTTGATTTGCTTCAAGGAAAAACCGGCAACCGGACTTGATTCTTCCTTGTCCTGCTCTACCTGAGCCGCTCGGGACTCCCTAGAGCGCTTCCGAGTTTGACCCTCTCCACCACCATGAGGCGGACACCGCTACTGTCCCTCACCAGGAGTCAGGCGAGCATCCTTCAAAGGATACCTAGGCAGCTCGTAGGAGTCATCACGTACATGCCCGAGTTTTTGGCAATAGGTGCATCTGGGTCTGTAATTGCCTCCACATTGATCGCCGTGATCTGTTGGACTGCTACGATCATGCTTGCTGGGCGCTGCGCACTGCAAAGGCTTCGGACTTGGACGTTGGGTTGTGGTTTTGGGATATCAAGCGCTGCTGATCCTCATTCAAAGTGATATTGAAAGCCTCTGCATGCGCCGATGTGGGATTTATAGCTAAGACCTGTGTTCGAACAGCAGCAAAGGGCCCATCCAAACCCATAAAAAATCAAATAGGCGAGAGCTTTCTACCTGTTGTTGGATGCGAAGTGATATACCACACATACAGAGCCCACACGTGCAGCTAGGAATGCTGAGACGGTGTGCATTTCTTGCTGGAGCAGACTGATCAACCGACGCAATTTATATGCCCGAGACGCGTTTCCTTGTCCAAAATGATTGCGTAGGTCATCCCAAATTTCTTCTGGGGTTTCAGCAAATCGCAATGTACTGCGAATTTCTTTATTCATTGCCGTATTCAGCCATCCCTTGATCATGGCATCACAACGGATCCAAGCGTTGCGTTCCTCTCCAGTGTTATGTCGGACCAATGACCCATCAACAAAAGCATACTTATTCTTCGCAATCAAGGAATCCTTCATATCAAGAACTCATTCACCGTAGTTGGTAGAGGTAAGGATGTCGTCTACCAGCATCTGACCAGGACCATTGGGATTATGGAGGTTGTAAATAGGAAGAAGATGATTGTCGCCGTCTCCGACGCTCTACTTCCCAAAATGTGACGTGACCATGACGTTAGCGATCTCATCGCCCATCTTCAACATTGATCGATGCTAGACTGTCTCGCTTCTACCATCACACTAGAAAATGGCCAAGTGTAACCACCTACTAGAGCGTAGTATAGCGGGTTTGGGTTTTAATGTCAACTCGGGTCCTAAGTGTGCTGACTACTCCGTGAATTCTTATTATTTAGCAGCTCAAACGTAGTGAAGGTCTCAGTAAACAAACAAGCAAAGCAGTAAAAGGTTGTTTTCAAGTTGAGTGAGGTCACCCGGATATGGTTCCCCCTAGACTGCAGTTAAGCCAGATTGTAATGTACCAAGTTCAAATTCAAAGATAGTTATACTGCGGAAGGTTCTTAAATTGTCTGCAGTCTCGACTAAAGGTCTCAAGACCCTCTGAATCTGAGTCCCCAACGGGCGACTAACCTCCACTGGAGTAAACAGATTGAGGCCCTAACGAACCAAACCTACTCTACCGAAGTAAATCCAGTACAGAATAGTGAATTGACTCCTCGACTAAAGTCTTCAATTCACTACTTTCAATCAAGGGTGCTCTATCAACCTAGGCAGATATTCTCTTTCAAGGTCAAAGCAGAAATAATAGGAATTTGATCAGGATTCATGCCATTCAACAAATCAGACTTCAATGGAATATAATCAAATCAATGGATTCATACTTGGGTTCATACAATCAGACCTAACGTACAAATCTAGGGTTCTTTATACCCAGGTGAATGTGGAAGTTACTCCATGGAGGGAGAAGCAAACTCTAGCTTAGAAGTAGAAAACATGCTGTGAGGAATGAGGATCTGCTTCTGGTCGGCAATCGGCAGTTCTCCAAGCGTTATCCGGGCTCCACTGATGATGAAGATCGATCTAAGGCGCTTGGGAACTCTGGTTCGTTACTTTCTGTCTCTAGGTATCACTTTCTTTCTCTAAAACTCGAAACCCTCTCAAAATTGGCCTTCTTTCTCTTAAATCAGCTGCTCGCGATCCCCAGTCATAATCCCCGGTCGGGTATTTCAGGTGCCCGGCCGGGGATTTCAAAATGCAGCGCATAAGTACAGGGGATAATACCCAATCGAGGTCAAGAATACCCGATCGGGTATTTTTGCACTCTGGCCGGGACCCCTTGTGCTTTCTTGGCGTCCAAAAGTGCTTCTCCCCGGCCTCCTCAGAATTTTACCTGGCCGGGTATTATTGCTCATGGCCAGGTATTTTGCTCCTCCAGCACCCTTCAACTCAAACGTCCTCCTTTTGATCCGAAACTCGTTTCTTCGCCTCAAAATCAACGCCAAGCCCTGATATATGACATAAACACACAACCTAGTGTGAAATCGGCTTAAAACACGAGATTCAACATCTCAAATGGCTCAAGAATGGAGGTAAAAATACGTGCAATCAATGGTCTATCATAGACCTTAGTGCTCTGATACCATGAGAAATCGAGCAAAACAAACTATAGAAAGAAACAAAGACGCAACGATTTAACGTGGTATCCCCGACGAGTCGGGACTAATCCATGGGAGAGTCTAAACCTCTCTAGCTATTGTTTGTTATTGCTCGTTAAGTTGTGTTGGCTGAAAGCCAATTACATGAATTATGTAACCCCTCATCACAATCAACTAGGGTTGTACAAGCAAGCTTATCCTTCCAAGTCATGGAAGCTGCGACATAAAAGGAAGAAGTGCAATGGGCCGCAGGACATCATGTGGGCTGTGTGGGCTGACTGTCGGACACGCTTGGCTTAGGTGAGGTTACGAGACCCAAGTCCAATTGAAGATAAAGGAAATAAGAGGGGTAGGTTGGTCACAAAATCATGAACTTCAAAGTCCATGATCACTTCCATTTTAAGGGGTGACATTTTCAAGTCTATGGGACCCACAGAATTGGAGTCCCGAAGTTTGTGTGCTTCATAGATTTGTTATCCCTAAATACATGAATCAAACTGTGGAATGTTGACAAAATCCATAGTGAATTCAAGTCCGTCAAGCAAACAAACCCTAAATGAAACAAATGAACATTGTGAAACTATATTGGATAACAATTTAGTAAACTATCATCTAACGGTTTAGTAGTTTGCTTGCGTAGTACAACATGATAAACCCATATATTGACCTAGTCATAAACTATAAGATTGTAGCGTTCTTGACCCGCCAGTTGTTTCGGCTATGAAACACAAGGGGCGTCAAATATGTGGAAGGGTGGGGATGATCGCCATTATCTACAATCTGACAATTTACATTGTGTTACGAAAACTAGACAGTAAAGATAGAGAGATTTTGTAAAGGTAATGTGTATGTACCAAAATGAGGAGAAGAGTCATTGCTTGGAAGACATCAGTGCTAGGGCTGAAAATTTGCCTGTCCCGTCCCTGACCCTGTCTGACCCGCCCCTGAAGGGTCAAGATGTATAATTAACCCGTCACGTCCATGTTTCCTTCTTGGTACCCATCATTATTTTTTTCTTACAATTCAATACCTAAAATTTATTATTTTTACAAATAAGTCTATAAAATTTGAAGGTAAAATTACGTTTTGGTACCCAAAATTTTTATTTTTACAAATTAGTACCTAAACTTTTAAAACTTTAAAAAAGGTCCAATGTGGTGTGATAAGCAATAAGGAAAAGTTTATTTGATGCTTGTACCCAAACAAATTCTAGCTGATCCAATTTAATAAATGTGTCAGTAACAGGTTTAATTCCCAAAATATTATTTTTTTTTAATTTACCACGAATATTGTGTTTTAAAAATTATTTACAACAATATTGTGTTTTAATGAAGGAAGTTGGCGACGGCGCCCGAGACTCAGCAAATAGAGATTTTAAAGGTGAAGCCAGCGAGGGCGCCATAGACTGGGGCGCCCTCGCTGGCTTCCTTTGTTTTTTAATTCCCCTCCCTCGTCCTCTCGCACCAGACACCCATTCATCCCTTCCCTTACCACCCACCTCCTCTCATCCTCCCTCCTTCACCCTACCAGCGCCGACGCCAACAACCGAGCGGCGAGGCCTAGCTAAAGGCGGCGGCGCGACGAAGAGAGCGGCATCGCCCCAGCAACAGCGGCGACACAGGATGTCTGACGACGAGCAACAAGCCCCCGGCGGCAGAGGAAGAGGCCGAGGGCGACGTGGCGGCGGCGAACGGTACAGGGGTGAGTTTTTTTCTCTCGCCGGCGGCGGCCGGATTCTCGCCGGCGGCCACTTTTTTCCAGTTCTAATATTTTTTTTATGTTCTAATATTTTTTTTTATGTTCTAATATTTTTTTTTTCCAGTTCCTAGGCCTATCGATCCTTGTTCGATGAGACCACCACCTGCGACGATCGATACTGCTCCGATGGATCCGGAACTTCTTTGGGGGCATGGTCACCATCGGATTGACGCAGTTTGGGCAAATGAGGTAAGTTTTTTTCAAACTATTTCTATAGTTTCATTAGCCAAATAACATGATAGAATAGAATTGAATTAAATTACGATTGGAATTAAATTAAATTAGGAATAGAATTATATTAAGTTACGATTGTATTATATATATTAGAAAAAGTTTATTTTAGATATATAAATATAAATATTAGGTGAATTGAAGGTATTGAATTAATATAGTTTTGTGCATTAATTATAGGCTGGTGATCGACCATTCCACATTCGTCATACTGGAAATTTAGTTCGATACAATCCATTGTACCTGCCGTATCTCGTTGATGCCGGCCTGTCTAGTGTTCTGCCACTAGCTCCTCTTACCGGTGATCCGGGTTTGATTACTGCGCTCGTAGAGCGTTGGCGACCCGAGACATCGACATTTCACATGTCGTTCGGTGAGGTGACGATCACCCTAGAGGACGTTGCCACGCTCACCGGATTAGCGATCGACGGTGATGCCGTCGTAGTAGACATACCCGACGAGGACTGGTCGGGTATGTCTCTTCGACTGTTAGGACAGGCTCTTACTGATCTTGGTGGCGGCGTCATCCGGATTTCTTAGCTGAGGGAGACTTTCGATGAGCTGCCGCTTTCTGCATCACCCCGGCTTTCTTGGTGATGAACCCTCGCTTGGCCAATCCATCTCGTTGTGAATTCGTGTTGATCTTGGCCTCCCCGGCTTTCTAATCATGTCCAGATTAGGATGGAGAGTAGGGTCATTATGCTTCTTCCAACCCTTAGGTTCACCAAGAGGTGCGAAACTTGTCCCATAACAAGCCATCACTGTTTCCAGCTTGTAGACATTGTTGACAAACCTATACGCATTAACACCCATTCGGTTGCAAGCTGCAATGGCATGAGAGCAAGGAATTTTATTTCCTTGAAATTTACCACAGGTGCAAAATCCCGTCCGGTTGGGGTCGTCAAAGTGCACTGTGAGTGTGTTTGACCCCATCATGTTGAAATTGTTGGGAGGA